GAATTTCTCTTTGGTAATTTGCAATAATTTAAACAAATCAATAACTAGAAAAAAATTAAATTTCAAACAATATTAAAACAACACATAAACAACTATGAGGAATGTAAAAGCCAGATTTGACGAATCACCTATGAGTGAATATTTTTGAAATCATTCGCATATACTCCGTTTCGCTATCGATCATTTATCATTTATCGATCACATAGATAAAAGAGAGCGATCTTTTATCCTCGGAATCACATTTTACGATCCCATTGCTTCTTCGCCCAGTCGATCTATTGATGCTTGTTAACATAATAGCACCTTGCCCATACTTTTGGCTTATAATCTCTACGAACGCCACGGATCTTCTCTCGTTATTGGATTAATAATCCGAAGAGAGTGAAAAAGTGAAACAACGCGCAAGGAGAGCAGGATCATCTGAAGGAGAAACAGAAGAGACAAAGAAAGATAAAAAAAGCCGTGGAAGGGAGACATGGAAGCATAGAAAGGTAAGAAGAGAAAGAAAGCAAGAGAGAGAAGGAGAATGGAAAAGAAAAAGAGACGGATAGAAAAAAAGATGAAGGAAGAGAGAAAGGTGGAAGGGTACAGAGATCGTAGCTCGTAAGTTAGCACGTGGTCGAGGCGAGCCGTGCGAAGGAAACCGAGAAGCGGGAAAGGAGAGGTGGAACGAGTCGAGTGGGCTTACCACCTCATCTTCTTTCTTTGCCCACTGACGTAGATAAAATTCTACATGGCCCTTGTGAACGTGACACCGAAGAACCGTTTCTCGCGACGAATAGCAATAATGGAGACGCATAGTCCCTTTCAAGTGTTGCCTCTTTACGCGGATCATCTTCTCCGACGACGACAATCGAAGAAGAAGTCGAACGTTAAAAACAACAAAGAAGCTACCGAATACTCTTTTCGACCAATAGAAAACATTTGATGAATCCTTTTAGAGTCATCCATTCTACGATACAATGGGAAAAAGTATACAATAACTCGATGATCATATACAAATTGCCCTGTCATTTAGATTCCCAGGCTGGCCGTCCCGTTTCATAGTCAGTATATAACGAGGAGACCACCTAATTAGAATTCCATTTCGCGGTCCTGTCGGCGGCAATATCGCGCGATCTACACGATCCTTCGTTACTTACGCCACTGTCAGCACCTCCACTCTCCTCCGATGTTCGTCTTCGGGGCCACCTCATCTTCGCGGCCCGGACCGAGTCAAGAGACAGCGTGGACCGTGTGTAGCAACGAGAGGCAGAAAAGAAGGGGGGAGGGGGAGGGGGGGAGCACCCGCAATCCAACGAGAGAGAAAGGAGAGTCGAGTATGTAACGTGTCTCGAACATCGAAGAAGTTGGCTGGGAAGAAGAGTGAAGATGAACAAGAAGTTCTCGCAGTGAAACATGCAAGAATTCCACGGTGGAAAGAGAGAAGAGACGAACAGCGAAAACGAGAAAAACGCGGTGAATCCATAGAAAAAGAGAAAAAAAAAGAACATGGAAAGAAACAAAAGAAAGAAAAAAAAAGGGAACGACGCGAGGAGCAAGAAAAAAAAAGGAATGTAAAAGTGAAAGAGATGGTGGAAAATGATCGGAGCGAGAGGGATGAGAAAAAGGACGAAGCGAGAGTGTAAGTGAGAGGAAATAGGCAGTAAGGAAGAATAGGAAGAGCGAAGAAGCGAGCGTAAGACCACACAGGACGCGGCACGCGCGCGCTCTACCGGGTGGGCCAGCACACGTCGGCTTCGGGCTTCCTCGTGCTAAATCGGGCGAGCTCGTGCGTCCTCGGCTGGGCCCGGTGGTCGAGTCTAGCCGAGGCCACACAGATCGCGCACGCGCGAACGCTTCCTGGGTGGCATTCGCCTGCCGGCCGGCAGGCCGAGCATAAGGTACTTCTTCTCTCCGTTCCACTGTGGGCCGTACAACCTGTTAGTGTCGTGCCATCCACGCATTATGCCCCTCATTCTCTCCTTGTCTTTCATGGCTACTCTTGCTATCTTCCTCTCTTTCTTTCTCTCTTTTATGCTACTTGGTCTTTCTCTTACTTACTAAAGGACCCCTCGAGGCTCCTCCTGCCTCGGGTACCTCCGGCATCACGAGCTTCTAATAAGATTCCAATTTGTCAATTAGGGGGAGGACGGGATCCGAGCGCATCTTTCTCCTTCACCTTCTCTCTGTCGTCTCTTTCTCTCCGCGTTAGCACCTGCCTCGCATTAACGACGTGCAACTGCGACACTTGAGCGGCTGCCGTATGCGACGTAATCTCAGACCGATCTTCCTGCGCGATTTAAACCAACATCATTCCTTGCTTCGAGATAAATATTCGAGATATTCTACCATTTTTTTGTCCTCATATTCTTTTATCCTGAAAAATATTTCTGCGGATATGTTTGAGATTATTTAATTGTTATTGTTAATGAATTTCATTTATATTCTTTCTTTTTCTTTTTTTATATTCTTTTCTTTTTTTTCTTTGCCTAACAATACAGAGACAAACGAGTTTTTCACTAATTTGACGAGCCGTGTAGCGCGTCATTCGACGTGTCAGTTTCATCGACGCGATTACATCGCGTGTACAAAGTTCTTACGCACACGCCAACATAATGAGCTTCGCCGCTACGAGCTGCATTCTCGTGACGCGAGCCACCCGCTGGGCCTTCTCGCTCGAGACCGTGCTGGAAACCGAGAACGATTTCGGAGAAAATAATCGTCAGATTTCTCAGTAACACTTCCTTCGTAATTTAAGGATCTTCATGCTTTGGTACTTTTGCGGATCTATATTTGAGTATTGACATATATACATTTTAAATTAAATTAAATTAAAAATTTAAGAAATTTGAATTTATTCAATTATTTTTTATATTTGATAATATATTAAAATAAAATATGAGTTATAAAATTATAATAAAATATATTAGTAGGAATATTTATAGGTATAATAAGAATAATATATTTATATAAGAAAAATTAGTTTATATAAATATTAATTGTATAAAAAATACATGAATTCCAGTTTTGCTCAAAAAGTTTTATTATTTATATTCTTCAATAAAAACATTGATTTTTTTATCTATATTTTTAAACTACAATAAAATATTATTAAAAGGATATAATAAAAATATGAAGGAAATAATATCTTTTGGAAGATAGAGAATATAAACAAACAAAAAAATTATAACAAAATTATAATAAAATAAATAAATACAGAAACTAAATTTTAAACTTTAAAAAATTTATAATTAATTAAAATAAAACCAAAATGAATTTCATTATGACAATGATGAAATAAATTTTTTATTGAATTTCCATTGACAAGAATAGTGAATGTTTCGAAAACGTTTTTAGTATCTATTATTAATAGCACATGATTGTCAATAATATTGATTCAATCTATTTTTATTTATATATTATTTATATATTTATATATTATAGTGATAATTTATAATTTATAACATATTTTATGTATTATCAATTGTTATCAATTTTATGTATTATCAAATGTATTATCAATATTTAAGAAAATATTAAAGTTTTATATAATTTTTTATTTATATTATTATATATATTAGAATATATAAGAAAATTAGTTTAAAAAAACATCATATATTATTAATATATAAGTTATTATTATATTATTATGTTAAAAAGTTATAATAAGTTTCAAATACATTGCAATGAACTTAGATAAATTTTTTTTTCTACTCTTAATTTATACTATATTCTAAATTAAAATATTTCACTAAATGAAAACAATTAATTTATATAATCATAAATTTTATTATTCCCAAAAGTTTATGAAACATTATTATCATTTTTAGAAATATTTTATCATCGTGAATATATTATCATTGTGAATATATAATATTCATAAATTTTAAATAACAATATTAAATTTATCCATGTTTTTATAAATTCAAATATATATAAATTCATTATATAAATATTTTTTATAAGAATTGAATTGAATATTTTATTCTGACTTTGTTTATAAATAATAGAAACAAACTACTTATTGTTAACATATTCTTATATTCTTTTAAATTAGATTAAATTTAATTATAATTCTTAATTATATTTGATTTTTTTCTATATTCCAAAATTTTACTTTTAATTTATTAAATATTAGATTTTAAAGAATAGATTTGCATTATCTTTATTAATGAATTTTTAATTTATCAAAATATAAGTATTTAATTTATAAATATAGATATATTTTAAAATATAAAATAAATTGTTTATAAATAAAATTATAAGCAAAATTATATATAAATTATTAATTTTCACAATTTTTTTTAAGAAATGGATATAACTTATAATAATGACATAATAACAATCCATATATACTTTTATAACAATTTTATTATAATTCTTACTTAATTATTTATATTTATTTTATGTGTTAATTAAAAGTTCTAAAAAAATCAATATAAGATAGAATCCCTTAGGACAGAATATAAAATAGAACAATAAAGAATTGAATAATATTCAATTACTTGAGAAATAAATTGTATTTTTAGTAAACAATATAATATTTATAATTTTGTATATTGATTTTATATTTATTATGATTTTAAAATCTAAATATTATAGTATATTTTTTTTGCATATTTAATGTTTATTTTCTACGGAAAATTTCATTATTAGTTGTCATTATTAGTCTGTTAACAATTAATAATAGTCTGTTAATCTGTCAATTTCTTACTTACTTTCTTACTAATTTCAATAGAAAAAAAACAAATGAGAATGTTTAATATAAGTTTAAAACATTAAAATAGCGAAAATTATTCAAAATTATAAATATGTAATTAATAAATTGTAATAAAAATATGACTATTAAATGTAATTTTTTTCAACTCTATATGCAAAAGTTGTTTATAATATAGAATTTATATGAAATCAAATTTTTTATCGATATAAATTTGTATGATATATATTTTGCTAAAAAAATATATAATTTCTAATAATTTGATTAAATAATATAAATTTAAACATCTCACCTTCGAATTTCCGAAATATCTAAAAATTTACAATTTTTGCTCATTGTTTTATCTTGCATCACATTGTCCTCGACTTATCATCTCAAAAAGGTTGAACTTATGATAAAAGATAGTTGGATATAATTATATTTTCAAAAAAATATCATAATAAGATCTCATGGATGATGATGGTTCCTATTGCGATATTCAAAGAGACTCACGGAGTGATCCACGCAGTCGAGGCATTTGTCCTGGCAGGAGCGTAGTCAAGGGGTCGGGCGCCCGATGTATACCAGCTCCCACGTATGTTCGGTGACGCGGGTGCCCCTCCCGCTCCATGACGCCGGACTATAAAATTTCATTTCTGCCGGGCGAATGTCTTCGAATTAGCAATAAAGCAGTGATTCTCTTCCCCTTGCAACGTACAACGAGGCCGTGCCGCGGCGTTGGCTTCTTCTCGTTTTTTGTTTACTCACCAGCGAACTGGTTTTGCGGTATACACGCTCCGTTCCCACTCCCTCGCCCCAACTCCCTACTGGTCCACCTCTTCCAAGTCCTCATCCTCGTCCACCGGCCCGTCTCATGGAGCAGGGAAGGTACGGCTATTTCGGGGTACGCAAATACGCGGAGTGCGTGAACGAGGGGTGCTTGAACGGTGGGCACCCGCGGCGAGAAGCCAGCACCACTGTCATCGACAAAAATCATTCTCGACATTCTCAAAACCGGGTAGATTTTTGCCGATGGAGAAGTTGAAGCGAAGATAGCGAAGCTGTGATGCTTCTCAAGTAGTATCGATTTTTAGTGACAAAAAATCACGACATCACGGACATATCTCTGACTATTAAAAGAATTATAAACGATACTTATTTGATTATTTCCAATCTTTTTAAGTATATCTTGAAAAGAATTGGTATCGATATACTTATTATTAATCTATTTTGAACCAACGTAATATTTTTATTGTAATACTTGTAAACATAGTGTGTATAATCTTTAAATTTTTATACATTCTTGATTCTTATATATTCGTTAATTTTGGCATTATGATAATTTGATATTATATTCGATATTATATTTTGTATGATTGATAATATATATTAATTTAGAATCCTTATTCTTTAGATACTCAAATATTAAACTTTTAAAACTCAAATATTATTACTTATAAAATATGAGAAAAACTGATATCAAAAAACTGACTTATTACTACTAGTGAATGACATAAAAAAGAATCAAATCTTTATAATCTATAATAAATCTTGAAATCTTAATATCAATCCTATTAATTGAACAATCCTATTAATTCCATCTTTTATGATTCTTAATCTCAAAGACTTGACATATTTTGATACGACTAATTGTCAATATAATTTTCTTAGGATTTAAAACTTAAAATCTAGACTTGCTAGATATATGGTTAAAAGTTTGAATCGAATTCGCAACAAAGTTTGTCACATGCCAAGTGCAGAAAATTCCCTCTGGATTCTTCTTGAAAGAATGTTAGTATTATTTTAAAGTCACACGCATAGATATGTGCACTGCGTGGTATTATGTCGTAGTATGGTGCTCGCGGAACTATGCTCCTCGATAATACGAACGTGATTTACATCTTGCTTTAATATGATTTTTTAATAAAGAGGAGAATCTAATCCATATAAAAATTAAGTTAAAATATCTGCGAGAAAATAAAAAAGAAAATTCTTTTATGTATACAAAATTTTACAAAAGATAAATAATTAATACAAACAAAAAATTTTAATATCGTGATACAATTTCAATAGAGACAATATATGATTGAAATCTGTTAATAATAAATTAAATTAAATCTCTGTTGAGATGAATTCTATTAGATATATCTTGTGAATTTTTTTTTCAGTTTGATAATTTCTTTCTAAAAATAGTCTTTAATTGTATAAATCTTATTTATGCATTTCATGCAAAAGAAATTCTATTATTCTTATTATTTCTATATACTCTACATACTTAAAAAAAAAAAAATTAACTTTTTAGTTCATGATTATTATTTAATATCTAATTAAGAAGTTTTATCCTATAAATCTATTGACAATATAAAACTTGATTAAAATTTTTTAAATCTCATAATGAAAATTAAATAAAGCTTTAAATTGTCTTTTATAATATAAACTTTATCTGTAAAGTAGTTAAATAAGTAATTAATAAATAATTTATTTAACTCATATTAAAAATTAAATCAAGCTTTTAGAATTAGCTAAGCTTCACATTATGTATTAAATCCATAATAAACTTAACTAAAATAATTTAAATCTAACCTATACCAAAAATTAAATCTTTTTTTTATAAATGAAATCCATAATCTACAAAGTTCAATTAAGATAGTTTAAATCTAATCTGTACTAAAGATTTATTGATATATTATAATTATTAACAAATTAAATTTTCTGCAATACAAAACTGAAAAATAGTTTAAATTTAACTAAAAATTTCTCATAAATTTACTTAAACGAGTTACATGATCCCAGTCTCAACCAACACTTGCAAAAGCACGTGTAACGCAGTCAAGTCCTTACATAGTTGCACATCCTTATGCACATTATACACATTATATACTATATGATCTAGGTCCGTGCGCGCAGAGACAAAGGAATGCTTCCTCCCTCCGTCCTCCGGCGTCTTTCCACCTACCGATCCACCTCGGTACCCCGTCCGAAGGGGGTACAAGGAGCTACGAAGGACGGCGCGAGACAAGGCAAGGGAGACACGGTAGAAGAAGAAGGGCATGGGAGGAGAAGAGGCACGCGGGAAGAAAGAAGAATAAGAGGAGCGAACCAGAGGAGGAATAGGCCATTCCACTTATACGCTGCTCGGATTCAATTAACTCTCCACCTTCTTCCCTCCTTCTTCTTCTCATCGCGTTGCCTGGCATGCCTCTGCGCCTCGTCTTATACAGGGTGTCCCTTTGCACGTGCTCATATCATCGTAATCCTTGTCAAAAACGTTCATTGTATAATTTGGACACACTTTTGTCTCGTCTAAATGTTCCAGTGACATCCTTGACAAAATTCATATCTTTGTCGCTTCAGGAGAATATAGTGAATTATCCGATGAAGGAATATAAGAATTTTCTGGATATTGATTAAAATTATGAAATATATGAATTTCTTTTGTGATTTTGATTTTTTTCCCTGTTTTTTTTTTTCTCCCAATGAAGGAATATGGAAATTTTCTGGAAATTGATTGAAATAATAAAATGAACCTTTTCTTTATGATTTTTTTTTCTTTAGAAATTTTTTGATTGATTTTTTTTCTTCATTTTTGCATTCTTTGATGTATTTATCTTTGGAACAGATAAATTTTTTTAATAATTTTTTTTCAAATTATTTGATAATTATTAATATTCCTTATGTTAATTCAATACTTTATTCAATACTTTATGACAGGTGAAATTAAAAATTGTGAAAAAATATAGTTTTTAAATGTAAAAAAACAAGATATTGCTTTGTTATTTGTTTTAATTAAAATTTCTTAATTGATATTGATATTTTACTATTTCAATGTTTATAATTTATTATAAAAAAAATAATTAATTATTTCAAAAAATAATAATTATTAAAATAATATATTATTATTTTATTATTTCAAATCACGAGTTAGTTTGTTTCAGTAGATAAATAATTTTTTTTATTTTTAATTATTTCTTTATTTAGACTTCATAAAATCATTTCTTATCTTATTCTTTATTTTAATTTAAAGATAATCTCTCAAAAAACTTTCTCTCTCTTATATCAACATTGTATAAATAATATTGTAATAGAAATAGAAATTTGTCACAAAATCATCACATATTTATCAATATTTATCATATTTTAGTTATAATGATATAATTACTTATAACTTTTATAATGATAGATTTATCATAATATAGTTACTTTTTTGATAAATAGTTTAAAACGAAAAATAAAATTTTGAAAAATATGATCACATCATAAAAAAATTATTTAAGATAATTTATAATTTATAATAATTTTAAGATAATTTTCTTTGATAATTTATTGCGGTCGAACTAAAAAATTATTCAAACATAGTTTTATTACAATTTTTAATCAAATTATTTATTATTTTATTTGAATAAATTAATAAAAAATTATTTAAAAATAATGTATAAAATCTAATAATCACAAGTTAATTTCTTTACGTTATTTGTTAAATAAAAATACATAAAAATAAAATATAATTCAAATTTTTTAAAATAAAATACTAAAATAATTCAATTAATTTTAACATATTATTTATTATTTTAGTTTATTTTTATTTTATAAATTCTATTCAAATTTATTTGATACTACAGAATTAATTGAGAATAGATCATTTGAGAAATTTTGAATTTTTTAAAAAATTGTTAAATTACATTTATTTTTAATTACTTTTTAAAATTATTTATTATTTGCTTTTAAAGTTATTATTATTTATATTTAATTTATGAAAATAAATGTTTATTTAAATGTAATATAACTAAAATATAAAATATTCAGATATTATTATTAATATTATTATTAATATTAAGATATTATAATTAAAATTTTTTATTAGTACTATTTCATATTTATTATTAATACCTATTAATTATAATATTATACATATTATTATTAATACAATTATATATAATTATTTAATATTCATTTCGAATTTTATTTAAAGAACGAATTTTCAATTATAAAATAAATTTTCTTAAATAACCAATTCTTCAATTTATTATTTATTTGAAATACCAAATAAACATCAATTTGAAATACATTAGATATTATTAAATAATAATGTTATAGAAAATATTATTTTTAAATTATTATTGTTATGCATAATATTTTTAAATTATTATTAAATTATTATTTAAAATAAATTTTATCGATTTTATCGATATTTATATATGCTTTAACGAGAAAGTGATAGCAATAAATATTAACATTAATGAATAACAATTTCAGCTAATAATAACTTTCCAATTGCTCTCTTGACAAAAGCAAGGATTAAGACTCAGGGATGCAACGTCAGCGATCAAAGAAATGGATATTTCCGCTAGTGAATTGGTGTTGAATTTCTGAGTGCCGTTTAATTGGACGTTATCCTTTCGCGTAATCAAGCGCGTGCATGTCGTTGCCGATATCGATGCTCACGCTGACCAATTATCGTGCTATGAAGCACATCGTTCAGATGCCTAGTTTGATCCTTACGATGGAAATAATAATAATGAGCTGCTTTATTGCCACTATATAACACCATGACGACAACTCGTTGTCATTGATGCTGTCATTGCGTGCCGAGCAACCGTGCGTGAGATAAGAAGATTGTTATTTGAAATGGCTACCTGTTACGACACAGTCGCGCATTAAACGACTAATTAATGCATTAACAACTAAACGTCTTTTCGCGGTATTCTCGTTATATGATCGAGTTTCATAGATACGTCTTGTATTTTTTGTAATTTTACATTACAATTCCGGTTATGAATCTGTCAGGAGCAGATTCATATAACTAGGTTGTTAATATAATAAGAGTTCATTTAAAGAATTCATTCAATTTAATATTCAGTTCATATTTTACGAAACATTTTCTTTAAAAGTAGTAATGTATCATACATGTATCATATATTTGGAAACAATTTGAAAATATAATAAATACCTAATTAGAATTAGCTTAGAATTAATTCTTATTTTATATATATTTTTATATATTCTTTATTTATTCTATATAAAAAATATTCTATATATTATTCTACATATTCTATATAAAATATATTTCAAATTATATTATATTA